CATTTCAAGACCCCCAAGATCTCCATGCCGGACATCGACCTCAACCTGAAAGGACCCAAAGTCAAAGGGGACATCGATGTCTCTGTCCCCAAACTGGAGGGGGACCTGAAGGGTCCTGAACTGGACATCAAAGGGCCCAAAGTGGACATTGACCTGCCGGACGTGGACATTGAAGGGCCAGAGGGGAAGGTGAAGGGTCCCAAGTTCAAAATGCCTGAAATGCATTTCAAAGCGCCCAAGATCTCCATGCCGGACTTTGATCTGAACCTCAAAGGGCCCAAAGTGAAGGGGGACATCGATGTCTCTGTCCCCAAACTCGAGGGGGACCTGAAAGGACCCGAACTGGACATCAAAGGGCCCAAAGTGGACATTGACCTGCCGGACGTGGAGCTGGAAGGGCCGGAGGGAAAAATGAAAGGCCCCAAATTCAAAATGCCCGAAATGGACATCAAAGCGCCCAAAATCTCCATGCCGGACTTTGATCTGAACCTGAAAGGACCCAAAATCAAGGGGGACGTGGACGTGTCCAGCCCCAAACTGGAAGGTGACCTCAAAGGTCCTGAACTGGACATCAAAGGGCCCAAAGTGGACATTGACCTGCCGGACGTGGAGCTGGAGTGTCCGGAGGGGAAGATCAAAGGCCCCAAGTTCAAAATGCCCAAGATGGACATCAAAGCGCCCAAGATCTCCATGCCGGATGTGGACTTTGGCCTCAAAGGACCCAAAATCAAAGGGGACATCGATGTCTCTGTCCCCAAACTCGAGGGTGACCTGAAGGGGCCTGAACTGGACATCAAAGGGCCCAAAGTGGACATCGAGGCCCCCGATGTGGACATTCACGGCCCCGAAGGGAAAATCAAAATGCCCAAATTCAAAATGCCCAAATTTGGGTTTTCCGGGCCCAAAGTGGAAGGCCCTGAAGTGGACGTGAACCTCCCCACGGGAAACCTGGACGTGTCCGGCCCCAAAGTGGACATTGAAGGTCCAGAGGTGGACGTTGAGCTGCCCGAGGGGAAGGTGAAGGGCCCCAAATTCAAAATGCCCGAAATGCATTTCAAGACCCCCAAGATCTCCATGCCGGACATCGACCTCAACCTTAAAGGACCCAAAGTCAAAGGGGACATCGATGTCTCTGTCCCCAAACTCGAGGGTGACCTCAAAGGTCCTGAACTGGACATCAAAGGGCCCAAAGTGGACATTGAAGCTCCTGATGTGGACATTGACCTCCCAGAGGGGAAGGTCAAGGG